TGCTTGAGGTACTGGGTTCGATTCTCAGCACCACATAAATGTAAAATAAAAGATATTGTGTCCACCTAAAACTAAACAGTAAATATTAAAAAAAAAATTAAAAAGATGGCTTTAATTGTTTGGGGTCTTTTGTGGTTCATATGAATTTTAGGATTGCTTTTTCTATACCTATGAAAAATGTCATCGGAATTTTGAGAGGGATTGCATTGAATCTGTAGATGGCTTTGTGTACTATGGACATTTTAGTATTACTAATTCTTCAAAATCCACGAATGTGGGATATCTTTTCATTTATTTTTGTCTTCTTCATTATCTTTCATCAACATTTTATAGTTTTTTCAGTGTAAAGATCTTTCACTTTCTCAGTTACATTTCTTGCATTTATTCCTTTTGATGCTATTGTAAGTGGGATTGTCTTCTTCGTTTCTTTTTCAGATATTTTGTGTTAGTTTATAAAAAATGCAACTGATGTTTGTTTGTTTGTTGCAGTGTAACTTAAAGTGATTCCTAGCGGAAGCACTTTAAGTTACACCTCCCCAGCTCTGAAACTGTACTGATTTTTGTATTTGATTTTTTTTTTTTTTAGAATTTTTTTTTTAATATTTATTTTTTAGTTTGTTTTTGGCAGACACAACATCTTTGTTTGTATGTGGTGCTGAGGATCGAACCCGGGCTGCACGCATGCTAGGCTAGCGTGCTACCACTTGAGCCACATCCCTAGCCCCTGTATTTGATTTTGTATTCTAAAATTTGTTTGTTAGTTCTAACGGATTTTTGGTGGAGTCTTTAGGGTTTTCTATATACTGTGTAAGATCATGTCATCTGTAAACAGAGACGATTTACTTCTTCCTTTTCAATTTAGATACCTTTTATTTCTTTTTTGTTGCCCAGTAGGACACTTTGAATACTTTTAAAGGCATTTCATAGAAAAATGAGTATGAAGAGTAAAGTCTTACACCACTTTGAGTGAAAAACTAAAATTATATGGTAGGACTAGTATTTGTTGATATTTTAAGAAGAAAACTAGAAGATGTTTTTTTTTTTTTTGTTTGGTCATTCATTGCAAATTAAAGAATATCTGTAACTAGAAAATAGTGAGCAAATAGATCAGTGTAATTTTCTTTTCTCTTATCTTTTGCATTTGGCTAAATCAACCAGAATCAATGGAGAAAGTTTCTGAGACTGTCTTCACTGCTAATTTATTATTACTATTATTATTTAGTTCTTTATTCCATTGGGGCTACAGATGTCAAATTTTCAGAAAATTTTAACTGCAAACTTACCCTATTTTTTTTTTTCTCTTTCGTAAGAAAATGTCACAGGAGAATAGAAGATCTCTGTTACCAGAAGCATTTAAACAAAGGTTGGGTGATAATAACGCTTAACACTTACTGAACATTTGCTCTGTATTATTTTATCCTGATATCAAATCTGTGAGATGATAACTATCATTATTTTGTATTAAGATATTGAATTGAGGAATAGAGAGATTAACTAACTTGGATAAGGTCAAAACTTAGCTAAGTGACAAAGATGAGATTCTAACTTAAGAAGGTCTGACTCCAGAGCATGCATACTAACCATTGATGCACACTGCCTCCTCCTTAAGGTGCATCTATGGAGGGGGTTGCTGATTTTTGCTTGAGAGGTTGCGATAGAAGGCCTTCAAAGGCTTTTCAGCTCTTAGGAGACTAGGACTTTAAACTGGGTGATGTTATATGTCAGTCCTACATTGGTATTTATATATACCATCCTTAACCTGGGTCTTTTTTTTTTTTAGTTGTAGATGGACATAATACCTTTATTTTATTTGTTTATTTTTATGTGTTTCCGGGGATCAAACCCAATGCCTCATGCATGCTAGACAAGTACTCTATCACTGAGCCACAATCCCAGCCCCTCAACCCGGGTCTTTTTATTTCCAGCTATTATTTTGGCCCCTTACCTAAGACTGATGATTTCATGAAGTCTAGAGCACTGAGCTTCAAATTTTAGCGTACATTATGCATTTTTTAAAAATTCAGATTCCTGAGGCAGGTCCAGAGTTGTCTCTCAGTGGGAGACAGTGAAGAGTTACTTCAGCAACACTGAAGCACATCCTTGTTATAGTCTGGCACCTGTCTTTTGGTCTTAGATTAGGTAATAGGATTTTGATTTATTTCCAAGAGTCTGTCCTGGTTCTAGTAACATGTTTTCTACCTTAGCCCTTTCCTGTGACTCTATTTTGCTAACATGCCTTGTTTTCTAGTTAATAGAACTGGGCTTGCAATATACCTGCTAGGCTTTCTTCCAGAAATCAGGTTCTGCTGCCTGTTGGCAGGCTCACCTAAACTGTCAGATGGCTTGGATTTCCAAGTAGCTTCCTGTCTTGTCTTTGCTGGGCTCTCTCCATCTACTGAAATCCCTGCCATCCTTATGTGGCTTCCTTATCTGTCTTGCTACCTGTGGTTACAGTGGGGAATACCTCCTATTCCATATCTAACATAAGGGGCAGGAGACTTAAAAATCCAACATTTGACCTGCCTCCTTTTCCTCGAATGTCTCTTGGCAACATGTCACCTCTTTTCCTTTCTGATTTGGGACTTCTCAGAGCTTCCTTTGTATTTGGTTTATACAGATAGGTAGAATGTTGGGTGTGAAGGGTTGTTTATCATAGCTGCCTGCTTATCTTGCTATGTTGAGTGACTTCCTGCCCAAGTGTGCTTGTGTGCTCTGGGGCACTGAGCACTGTCACAAGTGACATGGTAGTACAGAGGTACCATTAGAGAGAGTGGCACTATTCTCAGTGATGAGTGACAGTGGATAGCATTCATCCATTCATTTACCACCATTCCATAAATAATTATTGTTCATCTACTGTGCACTTCCTAAAAGCATGGTGCTAAGTACTGGAAACACAAAGATGAACAAACATGATTTTGCCCTTAAGGATTTTATTCTCTGGTGGGCAGGAGGGAGATAGTAAATTCAGCACAGTGAGGTATTTTTATACTATAGCAGTATGTGGATGCTCTGGGAGCACACAGGAGAGGCAGTTAACCCAGTAGTGGTGAGGTATGCCTGAGAGATGGCTTCTGGAAGGTGGGTACACTGAGCTAGGTCTTGAAGATATATTCTTACTGTGAAAATGAATTTCTGGGGGAAAAATGGATTGCTCCAAACTCTCTCAAATTTCTCCTGTTCTTTTGTTTCCTTTTGTAGCTTAATGTCTCTGCTTTGCTGGTGTTCTTTTGGCCTTGTGGTCTTTCTGGTCCTGTTATTCTTTGAATAATAATTTGTACCAAGGGGAGAAACAGTCTTTTGTCCTTAGAAGTTTTGCTTTTAATGTTCAAAAGAACATGCGAAAAATCAAATCATCTAGATTATAAGCACTTTAGTGTTATTAGTATCCAAAATTAGGATTCATTGGGGCTGGGGGTGTAGCCCAGTGCTAGAGAGCTGCTTCATGAGCTCCAGGCCCTGGGTTCAACCCCCTGCACCAAACATGCGCTGCACACACACGCATAGAATGAGGACTCTAAGATTGTGGTGTACTCAGAATTTTCAGTAGGCTACAAGGACACATTTGCATATGAAATGAAAACAGTTATTATATGACAAAATATGTAGATCAGATTTCTAGAAACTGAATTAGCTCCAAACAAATAAGATTAGAAAAATCATTAAAAATCTTAGCTCTTGAATATTGCTGTTATAATTCAAAGTCTTCTTGTCTCTTAGGTGAAAATTTTCCAAACTGTTTTGTGATAGTCTCAAATTAAAAGTTATTGTATGATTTTACATATTCCAAAGGGTAAACACCTAAATTTAATATTTCAATAAATATTTTTACTTTGTTTCTTACAAGTAGATTTTAACAATATGTTTTTATAGGCAGTAGGTATCCCTAAAATATAATCAAATGTGGTTTACAATGAAGACATTCAGACCACAGAAGGGTCTCTTTTTTTTTTTCTACAGAATGCTGCCTGTCCTCAGTCTTTCCCCAAGGTTTTTTTTTTTGAATCATTATGTGTTTGTTTTTTAAAAGAAATGTTTGATTACTTCTGTTACATGTTTGCTTAGCCCCAAGTAAACAGCTAGGAATTTTAGTTTCACAACTGAAAACATCATCTGATTATAATATAACTTCCCATTGTATCCTCATAAAGGTATATTTAATAGTTTATCTAGTAACTAGGATTTAAGACCTCAATATTGAACATTTGAAAATCAGGATTGGCTTTGTGATCATTTTGCTATTTCAGTTTTGCTAATGTAAATAATTTCTAAGCATCATTCCAAACCTATAAAAAATTATTATGGCCCATTAACTAAGGATTGTTAGAAATTTATAATGATTTATGTTTTTTTTTTAATTCAGTAACACGTCTTTTTATATAGTCATCAAGTCTCTGACCTATACATCCTCTAAAAATGAAAGGAAAACTGAGACAACTGAAATTATACGACTACAGAGTCTCAGGAAAACCAACAATGGGATACACTTGGGTTTCAGGAAAGATGGGTGGAAGTGGGAAACCTCTAGGCAATCTGAATAACATGTGCTATCTCTTATTAATGCTTGTTGGAGTGTCTTTTAAGGTCTTTTCTCTCTCTGCTGACTAGCTCACATGCTTATCTGTTCACATGATGGAATATGGTCTGAGTTTATGTGTTCACAGGTCTGGTCACAGGGAGATACTTCTCTCCCTTTTATCTCAGTGCCCATCTTTGGTCTAGTTATCTGGGGTCTGGAAGGAGGGGTACAGAATGACTTTGAGGGAACTAGCTCTGTGTGTGTGTATTTTCATGACCCCAGCACACCCTACAGAATTGCTCTAGGGATGAAGTAAGAGCAGCAGTATCACTAGACTATTGTCATACCCCATCTTAGAAAATTATGAGGGGTGGATAAAGGTTGATTGAGTAAGAGGTATTTTATAATAACCACGTGAGGAAAAAGAATCTTGTTGCATCTTGGACATTTTTGGTTTATTGTTTCATTTTCTTTGGAACAGGTTAGTGGTTACTTGGATGACTGTACTTGTGATGTTGAAACCATCGATAGATTTAATAACTACAGACTTTTCCCAAGACTACAAAAACTTCTTGAAAGTGACTACTTCAGATATTACAAGGTACTTTTAATTTTAATTTTTTTATAAGAATACTTTAAATGGATAATTACATTTTCTTAAGAATTACTAAGCTTCAAAATTGTGGTTATTATTTAAAATTGAGAGAAACTTTACTCAAGAAATTCACTTTATATTAGTGAACCATTTGGTTCTGAAACCATCAATTGGATACTTTTAATAAAAAAATGATAGTTTTGTACTGTATAGTTAGGAACCACCTATTTAAATTGAAGTTAGAACAAAAACTTATTTCTATCCAAACAGTGAGTACATAATTTTCTCAAACATTAGATTTTCCCTAATTAATTAAAATAACTAAATTAAAAAAAATTTAGAAACAGCATGGTTTTATTTAAACTCATTATTTTAACAAGTCACTTGTAGCATTTTATCTTAAGATAACTACTGGAAGAATTTAGAAAATCTGATCATTGAAGTCTTTAGTTGTAGTTTGAGTTCACAATTTAACTTTTCTCTACTTGGTAACTGTTTCTTGCTTTAAAAAGTATGAGTTGAGCCGGGCACGGTGATGCATGCCTGTAATCTCAGCGGCTCTGGAGGCTGAGACAGGAGGATCACAAGTTCAAAGCGAGCCTCAGCAATGGTGAGGCGCTAAGCAACTCAGTGAGACCCTGTCTCTAAATAAAATACAAAATAGGGCTGGAGATGTGGCTCAGTGGTTGAGTGCTCCTGAGTTCAATCCCTTGTACCAAAAAACCAAAACAAAACAAAACAAAAAAAAGTTGATAATGTAAGCTGTTTTGACTCCTGGTTGCCATATGTTCAGGGTCTGGTTAATGGTTGTCTGCGTCTTTCTAACTGACTTATCAATTTGCCTATGTCAGCTATACACATACAGCCAATGGAACTGGGTGACTAATAAGTGGAAGAAATACCAGGATTGTAACATATCACATAACCAGTTCATAGCCTCACAATTCAGCAGTTGTCAATTATAATCTTGGGGTTCTTATTTTTAAAACTCCTACTATTATTCTACAGGTAAACCTGAAGAAGCCGTGTCCTTTCTGGAATGATATCAGCCAGTGTGGAAGAAGGGACTGTGCTGTCAAACCTTGCCAATCTGTAAGAACTATGTGTACCTTTAAGATCTATTGCACCTATTTTCATCCATTACAATTTTTTAAAGGGGGCCAAGATAACCAAATAATAATTCAATCCTTAGTTTAAATATAACATTTAATATTTATGAATTGCAAATCTAAATGTCTAAGTGTAAAACCTATTTTGAATTAAACTGACTTCATAATGATAAATTTTTTGTTGTTAATATAATCCCTTGATTTATTCGAGAGATTAGTTGTGCTCTTGGCTTGGTATTTGTTTTTCTTCCTACATCTTACCTGAAAAAGTTATGTGTATGGTATAATCAAATGAAATTAATTGAAGTATAATTAAAATTCCTTTACTTTTTAAAACAAATTTTGTTTTTTAGTTGTAGTTGGACACAATACCTTTATTTTATTTATTTATTTTTATGTGGTGCTGAGGATCAAACCCAGGGCCTCACAAGTGCTAGGCGAGCGCTCTACCGCTAAGCCACAACCCCACCCCAAAATTTCTTTACTTTTTTGGTATAATTTTTTCTTGGATTTCCTGGGGTAGAAATTGAGAGTGGACAAAACACCTGATTTTACTTTGGAATCTTAGAGCATTAAAAGTTGAAGTACTCTATGAAAGTAGAGATTTTTGAAATACTTTGAAATGAAGTAGGTTTTGCCTCCCTTTAAAAGCAGATAGGGTCGGGGTGTAGCTCAGTGGTAGAATGCTTGCCTATATGCAAGGTCCTGGTATAAACAACAACAATGAAGGAAAAAAAAAGTATATTTTCATTTTATTTATTTTTATTGTGACAAAATATGTATAGCATTGAATTTACAATTTTAACCATTTTTAAGTGTACAGTTCAGTGGCATTAAGTACATTCATATTGTTGTGGAGCTGTCACCCTTCACCTGTCTCCAAAACTTTCTCATCCTCCCAAACTGAAACTGTTGCCACTTGACCACTAACTCCCAAGTCCCACCCGCCTCTCAGTATTTGGCAACCACCACTCTGTTGTTTTCTCTGTGAATTTGAGTATTATAGGCACCTCCTTTAAGGGAAATAATACTATATTTGTCCTTTTTTGCATATGGTTCTGTTTCATGTAGAGTGATGTTTTTAAGTTGATATATACTATAGCATTTATTAGAATTTTATTCCACTTTAAGGCCAAGTTACAATGTTGCACCGTATGTCTGTACTAAGTTTTGTTATATTTTAATCTGTTGATACACTTTTGTGTTGTGGAAACACAACAAGAGCCTTTTGGCTCTTATGGATAATTCTGCTGTGGACATGTGTATATAAATAGCTCTTCAAACCCCTATTTTCATTCTTCTTCTTCTTTTTTTGTTTTTGGATTGAACCTGGGCCCTGGAGCTTGCTAAGCACATGTTTTATCTGAGCTATATCCTCAGGCTCTCAAATTTTGTGGGTATACCTAGAAGTGGAACTGCTGGATCATATGGTAATTCTAGGTTTAATTTTTGAGCAATTGTCAAATTCTTCCACAGTGGCTGATCCATTTTTACATTTCTATCAAAAGTGTACAAGGGTTCCAGTTTTTCCACATCCTTGATAATACTGATTTTTCTGCTTTTTGGATAATAGCCACCCTAACAGAGGTGAAAGTGGTATTGTGTTTTTTGAGCAGTTTATTTTTCTAAATCTAACTATTGCTCACATAGACATATCTAGCATGTGGTATTAAAGCAAATATAAAATATTATTTATGAATATTTTATCATGAGAATGAGAAGCATTTAGTTCTATTAATCCTTAGAGACACAACTTGGTAAAAACTCAAGGATTAACTTACAAAACATTAACTTATGTTACTGTGTTAGTTGACTTCCCATTATTATCACAAAATACCTAAGATAATCAACTTATAGGAAGAAAAGGTTTATTTTGACTCATGATGTTGGAGGTTCAAGTCATGCATGATTGACTCCCTGTAGCTTTGGACCTGTGGTGAGGCAGCGCATCATGGTGGAGAGTATGTGGCAGAGGAAAACCAATCACCTCATAGTTAGGAAGCAAAAAAGAGGAAGAGGAAGAGGCCAGTAGAAGCTCTATCAAGAGCACTCTCCCAGTGACCTAAAGACCTTCCATCAGGCCTCACCTCTCAAAGGTTCCACCACCTCTTGATGGTGCCTCTCTAAGGGCCAAGTCTTTAACACATGGGCCTTTGGAGGGCATTCAAGATTCAGTCCACAGCAATTACTGTCTTGAAAGCATGAACATATCATGATAGTGATGTTATCAATTTAAATGCTTCACTATATTTTATAAGTTCTTGACATTATATTTTAGTAAGAGGAAAAATTAGTTGGGGGTATTTAAACTGAAAAACTGAGATAGGATCTAGTTACCTCAGCTTCAGCAGAACTGGAGCTGAGTTATATAAAAAGCTTCCCATTCTCGGTTGTGGCTACATGCTATGAAGACACCATTATTCATTAAACCAATTTCTTATTGGAGGACAAAACAGAAACAAAAACTGGGACTGAGATGCTTTCATGTCAATACTACTGCTTTCTTCTTAAACTGATATCATACTGGAGGTTTTTGCTTTTAAAGGAAGGTAATTGGAAAACATTAAATTTATAAACATTAAATTTGTAAGCTTGGCAAAGAAGTACCATGATTAGACCTGAGTTTTAGGATAACTGGCAGTGTTGGGGGAAGTATATGTAAAACATGAGGAGATGGAGAAGAGATTGGTGAAGTAATATCAGTTGGCATTTGAATGTAATTTGGCTCAATAATGAGTATTTTGTGAGAGTCTACTATGTGGTGAGACCTGGGCATGCAAGCTTAGCTATGGTTTAGTAGAGAAGAGAAACACTAAGTGATCATTTCAACACAAGTATGATTGCCCAACTATAGGTTAAAGTGTACAAACTGAGAGCAGAGAGGAACAGCAAGCTGAGGAGGGAGAGTGAGAGAAACTCCACTCCAAATGCCAGTGAGGAAATGAATTATTTATATTCCTCTTGGGATAAGCCTGGGCTCAGTTCTAATAATTCCTAATAGGGTGATATGTTGGAAACAAAGAGTGATTAAAGGTCATTTTGAGTCCTTCGGAATATTTGCTATAGCTTAAATTGTCATCTTTCAGATTTAACATTTATATTGTGCATTACTGATATCTTTTTTAAAAAAATATTTTTATTAGTTGTTGATGGATCTTTATTTATTTATTTATTTATTTATTTATTTATTTATATGCGGTGCTGAGAATCGAACCCAGTGCCTCACACAAGCTAGGCAAGTGCTCTGCCACTGAGCTACAACCCCAGCCCCTGCATTACTGATATCTTGACATCTCAATATTGTATGTTTCAGTGTGCCTCTGAAAGAAGGGACATTACTTCATGACCACAGTGCCATCCTCACACCTCAAACAATGAGCAGTTCTTCCTTAATGTAACATATGCATTTGGTCAAACTCAGTCAACTCACTACTCAGATGGTCTGCTGCTACTTTGGTAATGCCTTTTGTAGCTGAACAAGGGACAAAGACCAGTTCCCTTTTTGTCAACACTTTGATTTCCTTTTTTAGTTCAGGTTATACCCTGTGACCTAGCAGGAGAGAGAAAAGTAGTAAAAACAAGTTTTCTTCCTTATGTTGGGCACTTTGAAAACCATATCCCTTGATTTGTATACTGATTCCAGAGAAAATTTGAGTGAGGCAGATGTTCTGCCCATTGAGGCTGGAATCTTTTTATACCCAGAGAAACCAGTCATTTGTTGTCTTTACAGTTCTGCAAAATCCGGTTCTTTCACCTCCATTATTGATTGGCCAATGCAAAAAAAGAATAACAATGTTTAGTGTGAGTCTGGGAATAAGAAATGAGTATTATGGTGGTTAAGTCTTTTTGGAGATAATTTGGCAAATGCATCAAAAATAAAAAGGCACATACCCTTTGACCTAGAAATCTGATTAGGAATTTTACTTAGTAATTAGACAGATGTTCATAGATGACGACCATAAAGCAGGTCTGAATATTGTAGAGATGTCAGTTCTACTGAAATATATCTATAAATTTGACATTCTTTGTTATGTGAAAAAAATTAGAAATCTAAATGTATAGCTATTGAAAAAGAACACTCTTTGATCTAGTTCAGAGTCTGGAAGTGTACACAATAAAGTGATGCACACCCTTCTAGGCATGTACCCTAGAAGAAAGAGTACCCTGCAGTATACAGAATTCTGCTACATCCTTATCTGCCCACAGCATCACTTTGAGGACAGGCAGATAGTTCCTGTAGTGAGTAAGTGGCCAACACACCTAAAAACCACTTCTAGTTTCCTCTGAAAAGAACTGGAGCTCCTTAAATACGAGCTACACAAGATGAACCTGAAAAATTTTGTCAAACAAAACAAAACAAAGCATGCTGCTAAGGACTACCAAAGGAATATCAAAAGGATGCAGGTGCTAAGATTAAGTCAGCACTTAGTGACTTATAGAGGGACAGTTTGAATATCAAAAAGAATAATGGCTCAATAACTGTTTTTTTATTTCCATGCTATCATATGTGAGTATTTTATTAGTTTGTTTTTGAATTTTTATTTCCTTTAAAGAAATAATATAAAAATTGCCTGAGTAGTTTTAGTTAAAAATAAAGTGTTAATTTCAATAATTTGTTTTGTGATTTTTCTCATAAATTTAATTTTTTTTTCCAGAAGACAGGATAAATGTTATCTAAAAAAATGCATATTTTTTCTTTTTCAGGATGAAGTTCCTGATGGGATTAAATCTGCAAGCTATAAGGTATATACATATACTTAACTGATATGTCTAGTACCTTGACAAAAAGCTTGAAAAAAACATTTCCCCTTTCACCTAGATGTCCCCATCTCTGTTTCTCATTACAGTGAAATCCCTTGAAAGTTTTTAATTCAGTGGCTCTAAATCCTTTTGTTTGTTTTCATTTAATCTTTTATTATTCAAAGTATCAAAAATAAACAAAAGTAGAGAAAAGGAAAAAAACCCAAACATCCGTCACCCAGCAGTTATCAGTGTATGGTCAAACCTGCCTCATCTGTAGCTCTCACTCTATTTTCCCAATTATTTTAAAGCCAATCTCAGATAAATCATTATGTTTATACATAATTCACATATATCTCTAAGATAAAAATACTCTTTAAAAAAATACCCATAGTCAGGGTTCATATTTCTCTGATGTTTCATAAATACATTAATAGTTTGTTTGAAACAGGATTCAAATTTACCTGCACATTGCATTTGATTTATGTGTCTTTTATGTCTCTCTCTTAAAATAAAATTTTTTTGGTGGGAAGGTTTACTGGGGATTGAACTCATAGGTGTTTTACTACTGAGTCATACCCCCCAATCCTTTTTATGTTTTATTTTGAGACAAGGTCTCACTAAGTTGCTTAGGTCTTCTCTAAGTTGCTGAGGATGGCCTCAAACTTGAGATCTTCCTGCCTCAGCCTCCTGAGTCATTGGGATTACAGGTGTGTGCCACCATACCTGATTTAAAATAAACTTTTATTTTTATAACAGTTTTAAATTTACAGAAAAATTGTGAAGATAGTTTAGAGTTTCCATAAAACTCATAACCAGTTTCCTCTATAAGTATCATCTTATATAACCATTGTATATTTATGTTTTTTTTGTTGTTGTTGCTACTGGGTATTATACCAAGGGCCTCACACACTCTAAAGACTCACTCTATCACTGAGTCATATCCCCATCCTGATACATTTGTTAAAAATAATGAACCAGTGCTGATACATTATAACTAACTTTACTCAGATTTCTTTAATTTTCACCTAATGGCCTTTTTCTGTATCAGAATCCTCAGTCTTTTCCCAGAGGAAACCACATTCTGAACCTTTCCACCATAGATGAAAATTAATTTTGCTAATTTTTGATTCCACATTTCCTTGTACATATGAAGAGTTAAAGTGTGAACTCACAGCATTGACTTGTTGACATCAGTGACAGAACTTTGCACATAGTTAAGTGATGTCATTATTAACTGTTTCAAATAGAAAATAATTTAATTCCACAAAATTGTTTGACATTTTTCATTCAATTAATGGACTCATCTCTTTGAGTTTATTCAAAGTAAAACTTGAATCAGGGATTATGGCACATGCTTGTAAATCCCAGTGACTCAGGAGGCTGAGGCAGGAGGATAGCAAGTTAGAGGCCACCCTCAGCAACTTAGTGAAACCCTATCTCAAAATAAATAAAAAGGGCTAGGGGTTGAGACTCAGTGGTAGAGTGCCCTTGTGTTCATTCCCAAGTACTGCCAAAATACAATACAAAACAAAATCTGGAAACAACAACAACAAAAACTTTTGGAAGTTCCTTCTATAGAAGGAAAACTTTCATCACTCTTGTGAATGCTAGTGTAAATTCAGTTAAAGTTAAAAATTAAAGATAAAATAATTTTTGTGTCATACCTATATAGATCTTGATAAAAATAATTTTCTGGGTAAAAATGGTATATTACCTAAATCAAGAAATCAAAGGAGCAGAATTGGACTTGTCATGAAGGCACATGCATAACTCATATTTGTGTACAAATTTTACCAATGAAGATAAAAGTGTTTATTATCAAATGATGTACATACTAAGTAATGACCACAAAATTTTTAAGATGAAGCTGATGTTGAAAACAAATTATTGAAGGCTAGGCATGATGACAGATTCCTATAATCCACTGACTCTGGAGGCTGAGGCAGGAGGATGACAAATTCAAGGCTAAGCTCTGCAAGTTAGTGATACCCTGACTCAAAATTAAAAAAAAAAAAAAGGCAGCAAATTAGCTCAGTGGTAAAATGCTCTTGGATAGACTTAGACATCGAAAAGAAATATGGTTCAAGAATATCTTACAAATACCTAAAGATAGCAGAATACTTTTTGCAAAGACTTGGGAAGCTCCAGGGTACTCCTAGCATCATGGCATGATATTCCCATTGCTTATATTATGGAAGAAAAAATTGATGCTGTTAGACCATTGGAAAAGCAGGACAATATCTTTTTTTTTTTTTTTTTTTGAGAGAGAGAGAGAGAGAGAGAGAGAGAGAGAATCTTTTGTAGATGGACACAGCACAATGCCTTTATTTTTATGTGGTGCTGAGAATCGAACCCAGGTTGCGCCCGTGCTAGGCGAGCGCTCTACCGTGGAGCCACAATCCCAGCCACAGGACAATATCTTTTGACTACTTGCCACAAGACTTCCTTACACTCAAAGATATTCTTCATGACCAGGCACAGTGGTGCACACCTGTATTCCCAGTGGCTCTGGAGGCTGAGGCAGGAGGATTGCGAGTTCAAAGCCAGCCTCAGCAACAGTGAGGCCCTAAGCAACTCAGTGGAACCCTGATTCTAAATAAAATACAAGATAGGGCTAGGGATGTGGCTCAGTGGCTGAGTGCCCCTGAGTTCAATCCCTGGTATCCCCTACCCCCCGAAAAATGTTCTTCATAGACATTTTAAAGGCAAAGCTTTTTACTTATTTTTTAGCTTCAAGAGGAAATGTGAGTGCTTAATGGTTTCTTTTTAGTTTTGAAGTCAAGATGATGGTACCAGATATCAAGAGAGCCTTAGATAGTGTCTAAATTCTTTCAAAAAGTTTTTTAAAATGCAGTAAATTGTATTCTATTTACTCTATTTTTCATTTTAGTATTCTGAAGAAGCCAATAATCTCATCGAAGAATGTGAGCAAGCTGAACGACTCGGAGCAGTGGATGAATCACTGAGGTATGATTTTTCTTTTCTTTTCTTTTTTAGTGGTGCTTTGTTTCTTTCATATCACATGTTAATTTGAAAAAAAGAATCACACTGTTCATTTTTTTTGAAGTGAGGAAACCCAGAAGGCTGTTCTTCAGTGGACCAAGCATGATGATTCTTCTGACAACTTCTGTGAAGCTGATGGTAAAACATTTTTTTATACTACACGTTATGTTTAAAATTATACCTAAGATAAAATTTTGAATCTTTTTTTTTTAAACTCAGTTTCTAATAGTTTGACAGCTCCCCAAAAAGCTAAACAGAATTACCATATGACCTAACAGTTCCATTTCTAGGTACACATTCAAAAGAATTGAAGACAGAGACTCAAACAGATTTGGGTAAACCAGTGTTCGTTGCAGCATCATTCCCAGTAGCCAGAAAGTATAAACAACCTGTGTCTCTCACCAGATGGATGAATAAGCAAATGTGGTATATCCATTTAATGAAATTCTATTGAGCCATAAAAAGGAATGAAGTTCTGACATAGGCTACAACATAGATGAACCTTGAAAACATGCTAAGTGAAATAAACCAGACACAAAAGACAAGTATTATATGAGTCCACTTACATAAACTATCTAAAATGGGCAAATTCATAGAACGTAGATCAGAGGTTACTGGAGGTTGTAGGGCTGGGAATGAAGAATTATTGTTAGATGACTGCAGAGTTTCTCTTTGGGGTTATGGAAGAGTTTTGGAAACAAACTGGTCACAATTATACAACATTGTGAATGTTGTTAATGTTGCTTGAGGTACACTTAAATATGGTTGAACTGGCGGGATTTTGTTTCATATATATTTTACCATAATAGAACTACTAAAAAAGAAAACTTTATTTCTAGAAAAAAAATTTACCTCTTAGATTTTGCAGTTTGTAGTATATAGTAATTTTGATAAGTTTTGCAATACACACATGCATTTTGCACAAGTAGCTAGAATGTAGGAATTACAAAAACTTACTTCTGGCTGGGCATGGTGGTATACTTTGTAATCTCAGCAGCTTGGGAGGCTGATGCAGGAGGATTGTGAGTGCAAAGCCAGCCTCAGCAACTTAGCAAGGCCCTAAGCAACTTAGCAAGACCTAAATAAAAAATAAAAAGGGCTGTGGGATGTGGAACAGTGATTAAGCACTCCTGGGTTCAGTCCTTGGTACCAAACAAAAACAAAACAAAAATTAAAACAAAACAAAACAAAACCAAAAAACCCACCTTACTTCTGTTATATTGCTGTTGGATTGTTTTACATTTTCCTTAATGATGGCCTTTGTTGCTTTCAGAAAAGAGAATTTCGCACATAGAATCACATCTGCAACATCTAAAACTAAGCCCCAGTCCTGGTGCTGTTAAAATCTAGCATCCTAGGTTTATGGATTCTTCCATTCTTCTTTTTCTAAGTTGAATTATTGGCCTCTTACTTAATTATTGCTCTCTAAACAAAATTTAATCGAATTGAGTTTTGATGTTCTTCTGTGGCTCTTTTGTAGAGTATTAATGATCTTAAAAAAATTAAGTGAAAAGAATACTGCAGGGCATTGAAATTTCAAGTAAAAGAGAAGCCTGTAATCCTTATGAAAGAGAAAGGAAGGGAAAGTGGCTTCTTTTTGGAAAAAGAGAGAGGACGGATGAGAGGAGAGAAGAGAAAAAGAAAAGAGCTTTCCTTGATAGGAAACATGAACAAGCTTTGGTATATACTTATCTATAATGCCTTCTTTCTGTTTCCAAAATCTGGAAAACAGACATGTTTCCTCCTAAGTTTAATACGCATTCAGTGTGAATATTCATGTATTTCACTGCAGAAATGTGTATGTGGGTGAGGTTTTGTTTTGTTTTGGTTTTTTTTTTTTTTTCAATGCTGGGGAACAAATCCAGGCCCTTGTGCATACTAGATAAGAGCTCTTTCGCTGAGCTCCAGCTCCAGCCCTATGGTCTCACTTGAACTTAGTGGTATTAACTACTGTTGCTGCCCAGAAGCCATTCCTTATTTCCAGGCATCCTAAGCAACTAGTTCATGGCTTCCTTTCTTATATCAGCTGATGACTTTATTTCCCTGCCACATCTCTACCCCTTTCGATTGGTGCCCCAGACCCTGTTGGAGTAATACCTAATGTAAGTTGTGTACACTGTATTACTTTTGTTCTCGATTTCAAAACATCTCAGGGATATTAGATATGAGAGGTTGTAGACTTAATCAAGACTTAGGCTACTAAAGGAAAGAGATGGAACATTCTCCTCGACCTCTTGTTTTATCATCTTTTCTATAAAGATCTTTTGGCCTTAAACATTGTTCTATGAGATAAAACTAAATTTATAATATGTAACAGTTTTTTTTAAGACATGTAATGTTAGAAAAAGGATGGTAATACTTTAACTTCCATGAATGAACTATCCTTTTGAGACTACAATGTGAGTACCAACTGAGAATCAATAGCTCACTCACATGGTGGAGTTTAGTGAATTACTTGCCCATTTGCATTCATTTCTTCTGTTAAAAGATGAGTATTTTTTAAAGGCACAGCTTCATAGGGAATAAACAACATATGCAAATGGTGGGTGAAGTATAGAAGGTATTTTATAAATCCTTATAAGATATTTGAGCTTTAGTCATGTGGCAAAATATGGATATAATAACATTTATTTTTTATTCTGTCATAAGTAAAATCAAGAGGCCAAATGTTTATCTCTAGGTGGAATATTAAAAAGTGCAATCATACCTTGGTGTCTAGTTTTCTGTTTTAAGGTACTGGATACTGAGAATTATTTACATATTTTAAAAATGAGGAGTTTTAAAAATCAATTTAGTGTAAATTTCTGTAATAACTGCCTTTAGTATTAATTGGAGTGAACAGTTAGCCATCTCTGAACTGGATGATTCCATGCTAATTTATTTTTTAAGTTCTTATTATTTACTTTTTTTATTTATTTTAATTGCTGCTTCTGCATAGGGCTCAGTTATTTCTAGATGCTGTCATTGTGTTGGTTCTAGAAGTTACTTTTCTCCTAATACATGCTTTTATTATGCTGTTGAATTGGAATAAAAATAGACAAGCTTAGTTCTTTTTTTTTTTTGTCTTTGTTCTTTAATAATATGAAGTAGGTATTGTTGAGAGCTTGATGGACTCTCTATTGCTCTCTTGCTCTATTTTTTTTCTGTCTTTTTTATTTTGCAGTACTGGGGATAAAACCCAGGGCCTTCTACATGCTAGGGAAGTGCTCTACTACTGATCTACAATTCTTTGATGGACTCTCATAAGGGACTTTGTGCTCTGTTTCTTGTTATCTTTTCTGTTTGCTTTGAGGCCATTTTTGCCCGTATTTTGGTTTATATTGTTAAATTTTATAGATAAGTAAAATACTGCTGTACTGTCAAGTAATTTCCCAGAGCCATTGATGGACTAGGGCCATCATTTTTGTTTGGAAGTTTGTTTTTTATTTTTTAATTTTTGTTTTTGGTACCAGGGGATTGAACCCAAGGCTGCTTTAATCACTGACCCACAATCCAAGTCACCACTCCCAACCTTTTTATTTATTTTTTAAATTTTGAGACAGTATAGTGCTATGTTGCTTAGAGCCTTGCTAAACTGCTAAGGCTGTGATCCTCTTGTGATCCTCTTGCTTTAGTCTCTAGAGCTACTAGGATTATAGGCATACACCATTGCACCGAGCAAAGTTTAACAGTTTTAAATTATGAATCAGTGGCAGGACCTGGATCCCAATCCAGGCACTCAGGCTCCAGAGCCCAGGCTTCTAATTGCTCTACTATGTTGAGTGTTTAGGCTGTTTCCAATTTTCCTTTTTAGAAAGGATGCTGACACAAAATCATCATACCTATAACTTTTGCATATAGTGTTATGTCTTTAGGACAGCTGGGTAGTGGATCCTGATGGTAGTGGTCATTGAAGTAGAAAGTATTTGGTAACAAATAGTATATGACACTAATACTTCTTCTTTTACCTTAGTTACTGATGAGCTGCTCTGGTTAATGTGGAAATGAATGTATATTGTATTTATTGTCTGGATGGCCTATGAGAATTGAATTATGTTTCTCCGATCTCAAATCCACACATTCTTATTTTTTACAATTTCTAAAATCAGGATGTTTTTGCAATTAGTGTGCACAGTTAATGTGGCCATTTGTTTCTCTTTCTTTTCCTTCCTTTCTCTTGAAAAGTTGTTTTAAAATACCCAATACACTGATATATTTGGGATGCCTTAGAATCAATGGTACATTGTCTTGTATACTACTTTTTAAGGTAGCTAAAGATAAGAAAGATTTAATGGAAATGTTTATTTTACAGACATACAGTCTCCTGATGCTGAATATGTGGATTTACTCCTTAATCCTGAGCGCTACACTGGTTATAAAGGACCAGATGCTTGGAAGATATGGAATGTCATCTATGAAGAAAACTGTTTTAAGTATGTGTCATTTTCATTTAGAAATTACTATAAGATGTGGTGATTTCTCTATAAAAAAACCAAAATCATAATGATTTAAAATTACTAATCAAGTTCATTTTGTGCATCTAGACATAAAAACGTACCTTTTATTAATCCAATTCCCCTTGGGGGAAACATTGGCATAAGTTTGAACAAATATATTTTTTTCTTTGAAAGACTGGGAAGAGTATTTAAAACTTTATGGGATTATTGTAGGTACTAACAGATGTTCCTCAAGTAGATTGTAGAATCTCATTTTGTAGGTGAGAAGGCAGAGCCAAAGAGATTGACGTCCTTTCCCAAGACCAGGTAGTTAGTGACAGCATATAGATTAGTATCTACAACTCTTAATTCTCTTTTTGGTGCTCTGCAATTCTTTTATGTCACTGTAGTTATTTTACCTGCTTTGAAGGTAAATTGATTTCAGAGAATAATTATAACAGGTAACATTTTGAGTGCCCACTGTGTTAAGTATTATATACATTTTCTCCTCTAATTCTTTTTCCCCCTCGCATTTTTATTAGTACATTATAGTTGTTCATAACAATAGGATTTATTGTACATGCACACAATATAACAATATAATTTCGTCAATATTATTTCCTCCCCCTGGTCCCTTTCCTCTACTAATCTTCCTTCTATTTTCATAAGTTCCCATTTTTTTTCCTTTCTGGCTTTCACACATGAGAGAAAACATTGACCCTTGACCTTCTGTGTTTGTCTTATTTTGTTTAACATGATGGTCTCAAGTTCCATCCATTTTCTTACAAATGACATAATTTCATTTTTCTTTATGGCTGAGTAAAACTCCATTGTGTATATATACTACATTTTATTTATCCATTCATCCATTGATGAATACCTGGACTAGTTCCACAGTTTGGCTATTGTGAATTGTGCTCCTATAAGCATGAATATACATGTTTTGCTGTAGTATGCTGACCTTTAATTCTTTAGGCTAAGTATCTAGAAAGCTTTTGTTTTTTTTTTTCCCATTAAAAAATCTTTTATTTAAATAATAATAAACTTAATGGTCATGGGGTAAGCTGAAGTTTCTAAGAGTACCTAAGTGGAAAAGAAACTACCTACACTGTTTAATTTAATTTTTTCATGTTTAATTTTAATGTTTGTGTTAAGTTTGTCTTTCAATTAGGGGTGCATTTTGTGCCATACAACATACACTTTTACATACATATAAAAGCACATTAGCAATTCTAGGAGAAGTGCTTGACTTATATTTTTTTTCCTTCCTCTGTTTGAAGAGGTGATTAGGAAATTACCTGATGGCTTTTATAAAGGGAAAAGATCAGAAACTATCATCACTAAAACAAATAACAGGCAATAATTTCTCAAAAGCAATTAGAGAAAACTAAATATTTTATGATATCAACAAAACAATTTGACTTCAGATGTAGTCATTAAGCAACTGAGTTATTATCACTTTAATTAGATAATTATAACTTGACTGATAACATATTTATATTTCATATAGTACTTTTAATTCTTTTTTCTAGGCCACAGACAATTAAAAGACCTTTGAATCCTTTGGCTTCTGGTCAAGGTGAGCTATTTGTTTGCATTGTTATATTATTTATCAGCTGATGAACTTTGGTTAAATGGAAGGAAAGTCAAGATAAATGGCAAGAGCAGTTGGAGTCATATAATCCACAGTCCTGTTTCCATAGAGATTATGCCTCCCCCTTACAGAGGTTTATTTATACTTCAATAAGGAAGAATATTTTTGTAATGAAGTTTGTGGCATTGGGCTGCCATAAGGTGAACATTAGGATATATTTTATTTATCTACTTATTTACTTACTAACTTACTTGTTTTGGCAGTTCTGGGGATTGAACCTAGGAGTGTTCCTTAGCCCTTCTGATTTTATGCTAAATTGCCCTTGAACTTCCCATCCTCCTGCCTCAGCCTCCCAGGTACTGAGATTGCAGGCATGTACTATTGCACCCAGCTATTATAGTTTTTTTTTTTTTTTAATTATTTTTAGTTGTAGTTGGACACAATACTTTTATTTCACTTATTTATTTTTATGTGGTGCTGAGGATTGAACCCAGGGTCTTGCGCCTGCGAGGCGAGCGCTCTACTGCTGAGCCATAACCCCAGCCTCTATTCTAGGTGTTTTTGTGGATGCATTAATAAGTGTGCTCCCTTGTTTCAATTTCTCCTCATCTTCTAGACATAGAAGTATCCTCCCAAAAAACTTCTAAATTTTTTACAAAAACTTGAAATTATATATAGACTCCATATATTGGGGATGATTTCAAATTCACGTATCTTTATATTGCATTAAAATTTTTAATTTTCTACCTATACTCAAGGTGTGATCTAAATGCTGCCTTTCTCACAAAACTTTCCCTGATCCTCCTAATCAGATCTAATCTTTCCTTTCTTATTAAGTGTACACCATGTTTCATTTTTCTCTTATAGTCTTTTTTTTTTTTACTGTGCAGTCTTATTTTATTGTTATTTATGTATCTGCCAATTGAACCTAGTACTTTGGATATATGAATGAGCAGTATTCATCTCTTTCAGCCCTTTTTATAGAACCTGACATCTAATATATTGAGTAATTTGTTAGGTTAGTTTTCATTGAAAATTGCCCTCCTCATTGAGTGGTTTTATCTTTATCAGTGAAAATCACTTGTTCTAACAACAAATGATTATTCACCATTTACCACATGCTAGGCACTGTGTGTAGCAGCCAGAGGGAATGTAAAATTGAAACTCACAAGTCCTGTCCAGTCAATAATAGGCAGAATAGTGTATTGAATAAACCATTTCACTATATGATTTCTGACTTTTTCTTTAGAAAATATATATCCTTCTCTTTTTGTGTATGTGCTTACTGACAAAATCTTCGATGTGATTTTAGCAAATGTGAAAGGTGTTAAAATTTGTTTGAAAAGATGCTGATGTCATATAGTCAATAAATATAAATTTCCTCTTATAAATCAATGAGATTGCATCATGCCCTAAATGCTGGCAGCCTTGGCTTTCTTAGGTTAGAAAAGAAATTATTTCTAAACAAGTCTCATGGGTTTTTGCAAAGTCACAACATGTGGTGACTCATTAGATGCTATTGATTTAACATTAGATGAAATGCAAATACACAGGAAAGAAGTGACCTTTACTATGCGCTCATATGAGGACTCAATAAAGTAATTAGCTACCCTCACTTATTTTAAAGTAAAATGGGAGGACAGGTTGACTTATGGTACAGCCACATACTAAAATAAAGCGATAAATGTTAATAAATGTTGCTGTAGATTTGTACTCATTTGAATAAAAACATTCAACAATATACTGAGGAAAGGAAGTGGATATCAAAACAATATGTGTGGGCTGACGATATAGCTCAGTTGGTACAGTACTTGCCTTGCATGTACAAGGCCCTGGGTTCAATCCCCAGCAACACACATACACACACACACACACACATACACACACAAATATGTAATATATTTTTAGAAAAGCAAAATATAATTTCCAAGTACCCATACACAAAGAATAAAGGACATTTATAAAAATTTAAATAGTATAAATGGTAAGGGGAGGAGTTCTGGGTAACTTTTTATTTTATCTCTTTTTTTCTTCTTAAACATTTATTATTTAAGAAACATGGGCTGGGGATATAGTTCAGTTGGTAGAGTGCTTACCTCACTGCACAAAGCCCTAGGTTCAATCCCCAGCACTATAAAAAAAAGAGAGAGTGAGAGAGAAATATGTCTCTTAAACATATTTGCAATGAGTATATACTTAATAATCAAACAATGATGGCATTAAAGAAAAATGGGATAAATAAACTTTATTTGTTTATATATTTATTTTTAGTGCTGGGCATTGAGCCCAGATCTACCACTAAGTTACATCTCCATCCATTTTTTTAAATTTATTTTTTATTTTAAGACAGGGCCTCACTGTGTTGCTGAGGCTGGTCCAGAACTTGAAGTCCTCCTGCCTTAGTCTCCCAAGATCATAAATAAGCAGCTATGTACAAACTGCTACATCATGTACAGTTTGGATCATAGTCTTTGAAAATATTTCTAGGTCTAAATCTTATAATATTCTTTTAAACCTAAAAGCAATGATACAGGACAGGGGTTGTGACTCAGCAGTAGAACACTCGCCTAGTACATGTGAGGCCTTGGGTTCAATCCTCAGCACTACATAAAAAAAAAAAAATGTAAAAAAATTTAAAAAAGCAACGATACAAATCTTTAACAAAAATTATGTTATAATTTTAGGATAATAAATGTGGAAAAAGACTCTGATAGCCAAATAAACATAAGTCCTTAAGATATTTAACAGTACTCTCAGATTTCGGTTCAATTTTTCTCTCTTGTCACCCATATTAAATCTTACATGAGTAGAAGTACTTGTCATGCATCCTCTTGGAGATAATGCCATTTAGTCTAACAAGGCACAGTCCATACCACTGCTAAGTAGAGTTGTAATCATGGGTGTCTCACCTTTAGATTTTACTTGTTGGAGATGAACTAACTGGACTAAGAATAATCATTAAAAGTGTCATTTTAATGAAAGTGCATCAGTATAAAAGGGGCAGCTGGAAGGAATTTATAATAATAAGCATTTTGTTTTGTTTTTCAGGAAAAGGTAAAGGTAAGTATAATTTCTTTATCATACATTACATACATGCCTTTGCTCATATATTTGGATGCTTAAAATTAAACTCTTTTTCCTTCCTACCTTTGTGACTCAGAAGAACTTATTTTTATTTCTTTATCTAAAATTCTGGAGGTGAAAGCGCAGGTTAGGACAGTGACTGCTGTGTCTGTGCTCAGCATGCCTTTCCTCCTCAGCCCAACAGCCCAGCTGCCATTTACTGGGCTGTCCACCCTCTCCTCTTCAATGCCCCCACCCTCCCACACACATACTCTGGCAGGGAAGACTTCTTCCTCTTTGGTTGAAGTCTGGGATCTGCTACTGGTATCATATAGGAAGGTCCTGGACATGATTGGAATATTGATTCCAGAGCTGGCATCTAGGGCTTATGCTCTTGCCAAGTCTAAGTTAATAGTAATGCTAAGAATTTTTAACCTATTTTAGGTTCAGTTTGTCTTTTTGAAAATAATTTTGTTTTAAAAACACATGCTAATGGTATGAAAAGACTGAATCAGTGCTTAGTTTTAGCTCATCTAAATGAAACTGCTAAAATACAAACAATCACATTTCTCTTCCTCAAAGTCTTGTATCTTCTGAACATGATTTTATGAATTACTTATGCATTATGTCTAAATAACAGGACAATAAAGTCTGATAACATTGCTATTGTATCATTGTACTTTATGTTATAATGACTGTAGCAGCTAAATGAAATGCTAAATCAGAACTGAATTGTTTGAATGAGAAATTTTTAGCAGTAATGTTATTTTTTCTTAAGTTGCCTCTCATTTGTTAGTAGTGGAGGTGATTTTCAATTTTGAGTAACCTTATTCTACCTCGGGGATTAATATAGTTCTGTGCTATAGTCAAGCTACAGTAGAGAAGGCTACTTTGCTTTTCCAATACTTATCTAAAGACCATGACTTGTCTCTTGTTATCAAAGAAAAGATCACTAATCTGTGGGAGCAATTCTTAGAGAAACTATCTCGTTTATAAATGCCAAATTGATTTTGGCCTAATGTCAAACATTATTACTGACAACTGTCATATTAGGTGCTTGTTGAACTAGACCACAGTCAGGTTAAATTGAGAATAGCTATTTTGGGATTATAAAACTGAACTGAACTGAAAATATTATTGGAAGGCTAGGTCCCAAGCAGTATTATCCCTAGCCCCCTAATTCATGGTTGAAAAAAAGAAAAATTTCATAAAGAAATGAATTACTTATAATCCCACAGCCCCAAAATAATAATGGTAACTACTTGAGAGGCACTCTTTTAAGCAAATATATAAATATAATTTCATTTAATTCTTTCAACAATCCTAAGAGGTATTATTTCTATCCCCATTTTATTGATGAGGAAAATGAGTCCCAGAGAGGTTCAGAAGCAGTCTGGCTAAAATCATGTGACTTACAAGTAGCAGTTAGGATTCAAATCAAGAAGTTTGGCTCCAGGGACCATGTTCTTGGCTACTACTTCACACTGCTTTTCTATTAACATTTTGCTACTTTCTATGTATTTCTCCATATATATGTACCTACTTTACTTGTAACATATAAATATATTTATGTGTTATTTTTTCACCTTTGTCAGCATTGTTTTATCATATTTTTATATTTACTGATTTGATAGGAAAAGTGGTAGAGCTTTTAATTTGAATTTTTTATTACTGGTAAAACATCAATTTTTGTCTGTTACCATTTGTGTTTTTTCCTGTCCCTATTCATCTTCTGTACCCTCTTTAATGGCATTTTAGCATTTTTTTCTTAAATATATATATTTTTAATTGTCGATGGACCTTTATTTTATTTACTTATATGTGGTGTTGAGAATTGAACCCAGTGCCCCACACATGCTAGGCAAGTGCTCTACCACTGAGCTACAACCTCAGTCACATTTTAATATTTTATTCAGTTTATGAGATTTTTATACATTTAGGACATTATACCTTTGTTGTGTTTGTAACATACATTTTACCTAGTTTGCTGTTTGCATTTTGCTTTATGGAGTTATGAAGACAAATGGAACATAATGTCATCCACTGTATACAAATATTAAACTTAATATGATTTTATAATTTTAATTTTTCTAACAATAATTTTCATAGCATGAATTGTTATTTAAGCTAGGTATTTTCCAATTTTTGATAGATTTACTATTTAAATTCTGTATTTTGACATCATATGAACTCTTTATTCAGAAAGTTATGAGACTGGGGCTACCTAAGGTAATACTAAAATCTTTTAGATTCTGAGTAGAATAGTACTTAACTGAATCCATATCAAGAACTTCTCTTCTTCCTTTGAGAAAATTGCAAATAAGATTTGGTTTAGATTGAACAATTTTTAAAACAGTGTTTGCCATAAGTTTGGTATAATGCTTTAAAACTTTTGAAAAATTGTATTTTGGTATTTTTACAATCTTGTAATTTATTTTTCTTTTAATTTCAGAGAATGCTTTTTACAGTTGGCTAGAAGGTAAAATAAATTTAAATGATTTTCCCCCCTCATTGTTACAGTCATGAAATTAATTTTTATAGTCACAAGACTCACATATGAAATTTTATTTGCAAATCACTGATTTTATTTTTAGGTCTTTGTGTAGAAAAAAGGGCATTCTACAGACTCATATCTGGCCTCCATGCAAGCATTAATGTACATTTGAGTGCGAGATATCTTTTACAAGGTATGTTATATTTATGTTGTTTTTTTTTTCTTTTGGTACCAGGGATTGAACCAGGGCACTTGACAACTGAGCTACATCCTCAGCCCTATTTTATATTTTATTTAGAGACAAGGTCTCACTGAGTTGCTTAGCGCCTAGCTTTTGCTGAGGTTGCTTTGAACTCAAGATCCTCCTGCCTCAGCCTCCCAAGCTGCTGGTATTACAGGCGTGTGCCACCATACCCAGCAGTGGCAACATATTATTTTCAGGTACTCTCAAAAAGTCCCTGATATTTGCCTGACAAAATATTAGGCAGTAAAAATCCATTTTTAATTTGTAGTACTCAGGAATGTCGGAATTATGGATGCAGTTCAGCACATTAACTTTCTTCACCTTCTTTTAAGAAGCTGCTCAAAATTATACACGTCATTTTAGAAATATTCTTTGTTCTGGGAATTAAAACAGCTCCTAATAGCACATTCTGTTATTTGTTAAATATTATTATATCAGCACCTTTTTATTTGTGTGCTAGTTTTCAGAGGTAAGGAATGTCATGCAGGTCTTTATTCTTTAGGGATGTGGTTGGAAAATGAGACGATGGTTGATTTTCATCAATAGCATATTCTGGAGTTACAGGATTTTACTTCTTAGAAACAAAATATCGTAACTTTTTTCGAAACAGCTCTTCAAACTCATTAGTAACTTCAGATGGTCACTTTTATATATTTCAGTTTTATGAATTTTTAAAATTTTTTTTTAGTTGTTGATGGACCTTTATTTTATTTACTTATATGTGGTACTGAGAATCGAACCCAGTGCCTCACACATGCTAGGCAAGCACTCTACCACTGAGCCACAACCCCAGCACTTATGAATATCTTTACATGCAGAAATTTAATTTTTTTATTAAAACCTGCTTTTTTGGTAAAAATTGTATTCATTTTAGTTGTAAGGATACATTCTAGAAGATAAAATACCAATATAGAAAGCTTAAAGGCTAAATTATGAAAAAACAGTTTTCTTGGTTTTATCTATTATATATTTTAGTGTTTTATTTGTTTGTTTGTTTTTTGTCTTTTGTGGTGCTGGGTATCTAACCCAAGACTTTATTCATGCAAGCACTGTTCCACTGAGCTACACCCCCAGCCCTCATTATATATTTTAAAATACAAAATGAAATTAACTTCTGTAATTAAAGTAGAAATTAATTATAAAATTATGAAATTCAGTTTTTACTATGTAATTCTTCTTACTTCCCAGATACCTGGTTGGAAAAGAAATGGGGACACAACATTACAGAGTTTCAACAACGGTTTGATGGAATTTTGACTGAAGGAGAAGGTCCAAGAAGGCTTAAGAACCTGTATTTTCTGTACTTGATAGAATTAAGGGCTTTGTCTAAAGTGTTGCCATTCTTTGAGCGCCCAGATTTTCAACTCTTCACTGGAAATAAAATTCAGGATGCAGAAAACAAAATGTTACTTCTGGAAATACTTCACGAAATCAAGTAAATTACAGCTTTGCATTAATAGAAGAGTAATAAGTGATAGCCAAAGTTAAATGCTTAAACATTTATCTAAAGAAAGTGAAACTATTTTTAAAATAATTAAAAACCATACTTGCCCATCGGTCTTTTAGAATTTAGTTTTTGTTTTTGTGTTGATCTGTGTACTAAAAACCACACATTTTTAGTTTTAAGAGACATTATCTTATTACTTGATTCTTGCTTTATTTTTATATTTAGTTGGACAGATTGCATTTGGGACCAAACTTTATATTGTATAATTGGCCTTTAGATTTGAGGATAAGAATTTGTTTGCATCAGAGTGTTGGTTTTACTTTGTTTTCTACTCTATTTTAATTATTTATTGCTGACTGATAAAATACTATATTAGCAATACCTTTAATATTAAGAATACATAAAGTGAATAATCTCTATTTTAAAATTTAGGTCATTTCCTTTGCATTTTGATGAGAATTCATTTTTTGCTGGGGATAAAAAAGAAGCACACAAACTAAAGGTAATTATTTTATAGTTTAACTTAATTATTAGATTAAAAACTGATTAGCATGCAAGTATGAACATGAACTTATGTATTACTTATAGAGGTAAAGAGTAAAATGATGTTTATCAAAGCTGGGAGGGAAATAGATGAAGAAACAGACAATGTTGATCAAAGGGTACAAAGCTTCAGTCATGAGGAAGAATCTTCAGTGATCTGTTGCACACAATGGCAATTACAATAAATAATGTATATTTTAAAAATTGATGAAAGTAATTTTAAATATTTTCACCACACCCAAATAAATATGTGGGTAATGGATTTGTTAATGAGCCTGATTTAACCATTCCACCTTGTAAAATTTATAAAAATGTCATATTATACCCCATAAGAATATCTAATTAGCATTTGTCAATTTTAAAAAATAAATACATTTATTTATACTAATGGTAAATCCTGATACACATTCTGAAATACAAGAAAAATTGGAGTCATAGTTTTTCCTTTCCCTTAAAAAAAGGAAATCTACAGGCAAGTCTGAGTTGAGATCTCATTTTTATTATGTTCAGAATAACAAGGGGGGAAGATGTGTATCTCTGTATACTTTACAAATGGCTTTTACATTGATGGTCTTATGTAGTAAATAGAGGGTATAAATTACAGGGAAGGGATCCAGAGCATGAGTGGCAGTATTAATCTGGCAGTACTAGTTTATCTTTTGCTGCAGATATTTCTAAAATGGTATTGGTTAAATTAGAAGATTGTCTTCAGGGAGAACAGGCACATCATGATGTGTTGTCCTTTATCTTATTTACTGGAAGTTAAAGGCAGATGTAGTGATACCAGCATCTGTTGTGGAAAGGACAGATATGACACCCCACAAAATGGGGTCTGGTCATTGTCTTGCTTCTTAGCAGGGGAACAACCTTAAGCAAGACCATTTCTGAGTATGTATTTGCCTCAAAAAACCACAAATGTAAAATATTACTAGGAAGATGTGCAGAGATTTATTAAACACTATGTGATTTCTGTCATCAAAGAGATAGATAGCTCCTATCCCCAAAGGATCTTAAAAATATTTTGGGGGATTAAGAGAAATTATGTTACTGTTCTTTCTACAAAGCTACTGGTAAGCAAAGGCAGGTGGCCCTTAGAACCACTGCGTTCAATCTGATTTCACCAGAATATTTATAACCATCTTCCCATTTCTTTCTTTTTTTTTTTTTTAAGAGAGAGTGAGAGAGAGAGAGAGAGAGAGAGAGAGAGAGAGAGAATTTTTTAATATGTATTTTTTAGTTATCGGGAGACACAACATCTTTCTTTGTATGTGGTGCTGAAGATCGAACCCGGGCGGCACGCATGCCAGGCGAGCGCACTACCGCTTGAGCCACATCCCTAGCCCATCTTCCCATTTCTTATTCTTTCTTTCCATGATGACAGAAACTGATTTTATGCAGTTAGCAAAGAAAGTACTTTTTGCACTTATTTTTTTTTCCCGTTAGATAATAGTTATTCTTGACCTCCCATCTATCTCCTACTTAAAGCATTCTTGCTACAAAAACATACTTCAGTGATTATATAACCTCCCAAACAGCTTCCAGGAACTTGAAAGTGAGGGGGAAGATGCTGCAATAAGATTTCTTTTTTTCTTACTATTTTCAATATGTTCTTTATTTTTAGTTCACTTGCTGGCTTATTGGAGAGTGTTTTGGCATCAGCTCTTTTTAGATTGTGCAAATTAGAAATATTTCTCACAATGTTTTAATTTGCTCAAAACTCCAAAACACTCAGCTTTTATGTCTTGTGAGGTTTATGTAGAGAGTCCTTGCTAAGAGAATTTTTCTGAATCTTTTATAGCAATGAAAAATAAAAAAAAACAGGAAAACATGTTATCATGTTATTATCAGATATTTACTTTAAAAAAGTAGTTTCTGGTTTGGATTTGAATACTCATATTTATAAATTCATTTCAAATAATCTCATTGTGACTTCTTTATATTCTATCAATGTGTGGCTAGAAATAGACAACTTGCATGAAATGGAGTTTTTAGTGTTCAAAATACAACATGGTCTCATTTGAAGGCTTATAAAACATTTGAGAATTTGGGCAAGAATTGGGCAGTTGGTGCCACTGAGTATAAATCACAGCCTGTAACCATATCATATTTGATCATTCTGTCAAATGACTGTAGTTGAAAACAATGACCTAAAACTGTATGCCTGAGCAAGGGGAAACTGAAGTGATTTAGGTTATTTAAGGATCCTAGTTTTTTCCAATCTGAGATAACTTTGGTATAGTCTCAAATTGTTAAATGTGATTTTTTTTTTTTTTGGTGGAATGCTCAATGATTTTCTCCTATTCTGGACTAGTCAGTTTCTCGTCTTATTAATTTGGTTCTAGTGTATTAAGTTTACCTATGTAGAAGATTCATGCTATTTCATGTGCTGGCTTTTAATTTTATAATATTTATTTGGCCACTCTAAGCAACAATGAGTGCCCTAAGTTAAGGTCAAAAACACTAGTTTAAGGGAAACCTTAAATCATGAAATCTATCTAGAGTAATTTTGTTTGGTAGTTATTCCTAAAAGTGTGTTTAAAATTAGGATTAGCTTTTATTGAACAGACACAGAAACAAAAGATTGAGAATATTTTAATATATAGTAACAATTAATAATTTGGGCTTTGTACTAAATAGAGATACAAGATCTGGATCTTAGTAAAACTTATTTACATATTATAGCTGTTTTGGTTTCCAGCTGAATAAAGCAAGTGGGAAAAGTTTGTGTCCAGAGCAATTTGAGATCTGCTCTGAATACAGTTGATGCCAATCTTTGATTTATTCCTAGTTTTAGATATGTAGTCCTGTTCTCATCTTGTTGAGCCAGTGTATGGTTTATTACATTATGTAAAGAAAAATACTGTATGCTTTCTAAATTATAGATCAACTGGAATAATAGATGTTCTATCTGAATTGTATGACAGTTTTCAAAAGTTTTAAAATTCTGAGGGATTCCAGTCTAAGACAGGACAGAGAGAGTCACTTGGAGGATCAATTAATAATTCCCCCTGGAGTAAAAGAAAGATGTGTTCTTGGACTTCCCTTTTTTATTTTTTTATTCCTTAAGAACATATGCTACTTTTGGATAAGCTGGGTGCATGTTGCTACATTGTAAACAACATAATAATCTAATGTTCATGGATATATACATATGCATAAAAACATAAAGGTAATAGTAAACACTGAATTCAGCATGGTAATACAGGGTGGGATATATTCTTTTGAGTGATACATAGGGAGCTTCAATTGTACTTGAAATGGTTTCTTTCTAAAACTTGGTGGTAGGTCCATGAGTATTCATTATATTTTGCATATTAATAATAATGTTGACATTAATAATAATAAAATATCTGATTGTTTTACCTAATTAATACCTGAAAGAAGGGCTGTAATTTAACTTTTGTGAAACCAAAGTTTTCTTCCAACCCTCCCTCCCTCTTTTTGGTAAATGGTAGCTTCTTATATCTCCCCCTACCACATATTGACACACAGTTAATAATCGCATATAACAAGTCACATCAACCAAGCTACTTTTCATATTTTTGCATATCATTTTGGAGTCAGGCAGACTTGGATTCTAAGTTTGTTATATACTAGATGTGGGAATTTAGGCAAAGTATCTAACTTTTTTGAATCTTGTTAATTCATTAGGGGTAGATTATAATAACATTTACTTTTGGAGTTGTGGTGAACATTAATAAGAGTGTATATGTAAAATTCTAACCTTGACCAGTGTTAGACACATAGAAAGCACTTAGAAAATACATATTAGTTGACCATATATTACATCTTAATAAAATTTTTGTAAATTGTTTTTAGGAGGACTTTAGACTGCATTTTAGAAATATTTCAAGAATCATGGATTGTGTTGGTTGTTTTAAATGTCGACTGTGGGGAAAACTTCAGGTAGGTAATTCTCGTTTAGTTCTACTTCTCATTTTTATCTTTTCCACAAAAAATTTCTTAGTTTATTTATTCTTTTCTTTATTTCTATTATAGACTCAGGGTTTGGGGACTGCTCTGAAGATCTTGTTTTCTGAGAAATTGATAGCAAATATGCCAGAAAGTGGACCCAGTTATGAATTCCATCTAACCAGACAAGAAATAGTATCATTATTCAATGCATTTGGAAGGTTAGTTTGAATGTACTAAAATTGTTTCTGCTAGCTAAGTAAGTCTAATAATGCAACATATCTACTCTCAGATAAAACTACGTAAGGAATATCCTTTCAGTGAAATTGTCTTGTTACAGAATTATATGATCTTATGAAATACTTCAAGAATGTAGATACACACAATCACAGATTGTTTATTTCCATCTGTTGAGTCTTATATTCATGATTAATTTACTGATTAGATTTCAGTATTCATCTTTTTGAATTTGTACAGTTTTTCTAATTGTTTAAAAGTGTTTTTGTGTGCTGTCTAATTATTTTTCTTCAGATCATTGAAAAATTGTATGTTGTTTAATATAGGCATACATGTAAGTTTCTCTGTGAATTCACTATTATATAAAAAGGTTAATAATTTTTTTCTTTATTGGTGCATTATAATTATATGTAAAGTGGGATTCATTGTGCCACATTATACATGCACATACCATAATTTGATCAGTCTCTATCCCTGTACCTTCCCTTTTCCTTCCATGATCCCTTTACTCTACTGATTAATGATTCTTTTTAAAATAATTATTTTTTATCAAAATGGTAGCAGGAAAACCATGAAATAAGGAACATACATTAAAAAAAAATTAAGTGTAAATGCATTTTCTTCTAGCTTATCATGTAAAGAATGCTGAGATTTGTAAAAATTAACATTTTGTGTGTATGTATGTGTGGTGCTAGAGTTTGGACCCAGGGCCTTGTGCATGCTAGGCAAGTACTCTATCACAGAGCTATAATCCCAACCCCCAAAATGAACATTTTTAAAGGACTGTTTCTTTCCTTAAGAAATATGATTTAGTATTTGAGGTTTGAAATAATTGACCTTTAGTATTATTTCTCAAGTACCAGGAGCTTGACAGTTATTTCCACTGAGTGTTATGTTATTTTTATCGTGCTGGATTAACAGAGTTTTATTGACATAAGGAATACACATGTGCATGCACACACACAAAAAATAATAAGAAACAAATTTCATATTTTGTAAAAATTGTCAGAATAATTTGTTCATACATTTACTATCCTTACAGAAAGCTTTGAACATTTAATAAATAATAGCATGTTATTTTTAAGTATTTGTATACTTGTACATATTTAAAATATTTTAATATTTTTTCATTTATATACTTTATACTATGTACTTTAATATTAAGCATATGAATATATTTATGAATACTTAAAATACTTTAGTATTTTAATACTTATGCTTTTATACAAATACTTGTGTACTTTATTACTTTAATATTAAGTAATGAATGTAGTTTTGAATACTTAAAGTACTTAAGTATTTTGATACTTGTGTACTCCATAATTATGTATTTTTTTGCTTTAATTAAATTAAAAATAATTTCTGGATAATATTATTTCAATTTTATTATGTCAAATTAAGAACTGAAGTACATCAAAATAGATTAAATGGTTTATGCACCTTTTGATTTATTGAAATAAATTAAAATTTTTCTATACTCTTAAAAATGTAAAGTGAATAACTTTTACAGAGCAAATTTTTCTAAAATGGTTTCTGAGTTAATATTTTTTGATTACAGAATTTCTACAAGTGTGAAAGAATTAGAAAACTTCAGGAACTTGTTACAAAATATTCATTAAGGAAAACGAGTTGAATATACGTATTTCTGGACTATGGAGGCCAAAGAGTGGAATTTCATTCAAAGGCATAAAAGCAATGACAGTCTTAAGCCAAACATTTTATATAAAGCTGCTTTTGTAAAGGAGAATTATATTGTTTTAAGTAATTTTTTTTAATTGTGCTAAGTCTATGTTTAATACTATTGTGAGTAAAAGTAATACTTTGATAATGTGGTACAAATTTAAAGTTTAATATTGAATAAAAGCAGGATTATCAGATTCACAGATGATAAAACTAGGTGAATGATGTTTTAAGTCTCTCAATTCTGTGTAAGAAGATGTAACAAAAATAAAACTGGCAATGTGATAAGCATTTAATAAGAAAATGTAATGAGTTTCATGAATTGCCCATAATAGTCTAGAATTTTTAAATACATTTAGGGTTGCCAGATTTAACAAATAAAAATACAGAATTCTCAGTTGGATTTGAATTTCAGGTCAACAGCTAGTTTTCTTTTAAATATAAATATGTTGCATATAATATTTGGGACATACTTAACTAAAAATTATTCACTATTTATTCGAAATTCAAATTTAACTGGGAGTCCTGTGTTTTATTTGGAAACCCTAAGATACTTTGGTATGAAGTAAATCATGTTGAGAGTTATATTTCTATTTTGATTGGGTTGTTTGGTATGTAAAAAGTATAATAACAAGGCAAAGGCATAGGAGATTTCTAAGCATTGTGAAAAATTGAATAGATTATATATTTATTCTCATAATACTTTCCCTAAAACTAAATTTGGGGAAAACTTTTTATTTTTATATAATTTCAAATTTACAGAAAAGTTTCAAATATAGTACATTCTTTTACCCAGATTTGCCAACTGTTCACATTTGCTTTGTCTTTGATACTCTCTGTGTAGATATTCACAAATGCTATTTTTCCTCATTTGAAAGTCAGTTACAGGCATCTTGCCCTTTTAACCCTAAATACTTTAGTGTGTAATACTGAATGATTTTCTAAAATTGATTTTCTTAGAAAAAGAAGCCCCAAATCCCCAAATCTGAAACTATAATACTATAAGCATTAAAATAAGGAATTATTATTAATTATAATCTAAAGTTTTGTTACCTTTTTTATGTTGTAATCTGTTTAGTCATAGAGTATACAGTTTCTATTTTTTATACATGAGCTTCATTTCCTTTGCCTCCCCAAAAGTGAACTGTAATTTGGGAGATTTTCATTAGTGGAAGCTCTTCAGTGAAAAAATACTTGAAGGAGCTTAGGAATTAATGTCATATGATAATTGCGGGGGAAAAGAAATTGTATACCTCAAAATTATGTGCCCACTTTCTATAAATCTTAGCAGGGATAACATGTTGATGTTATTAGTTAAGCAGGGTTTATTTATATAATGGCTGAGAATTGTCACTTTACACTGTATATTTTTTCTTTTCTATGACCCTAAGGCCAGGTACAATGCCAAGCCCATAATTGGTATCCAATAAATATTTGTTAAATGAATGTATGAATATGTATTCGGTATATTTTGAATGTTCACTGAATTAAGTTAAAAAATATGTGTTCTGTTTTCCTTCTTCCACCCTCTTCCCCCATTTTCTCTGAATAGGGCAGGAAAAGAAAACATTAACTCACTAATTAAGTCAATTATTTTGGCAACTCAAAGGACTATGAAATGATTTCCATATATAAATGTTTAAGGATCTTTCTCATCTCTGAAAATATGGTAGATGGGCTTAAATATTAAATCTGTGTATAAACTTTTTTCTCATCTTATGCTCCTCCCCCCACACCTTTTTCAACAGCCAGTTAAGTTTTGAAACCATCACTTTCCTATGTCTGCCTAACCTCTTAACTAAAATCTGGCATTTGGCCCTAGTTCTTCTCAGTCGCTTCCGGTGAGGTCTAAAATCCTAATTCTAAATCCATAGTTCAGTTCGCAAACTATTTCTTTTCTTTCTTTTTTCAGGGTGAGGGGGCACATAAAACTATTTTTTATTTGGCTTTTTCCCCCATGTTTGACACTACTGATGATAACTTCCTTTAAAAATTTCTGCTCTTTGGGTTCCTCATTTTACTTGCTCTTGGACCCCTCTTTTTTGGCCTCTTAATTTATTCCCAAAATGTAATTCCTCAGACTTTCATTCTTGGTCTCTTTATTACTATACCACTTCCTACTCTTGGGAAATACCAATTCAGTGATTGCTAAATCCTTATCTTTAGCTCAAACTTCTCCATATGTTTGTCCTACGGTCACCTGAGTGTGTGTTTAAGCGCTTTTTATTCTCTCTACTCTTTATTTTCCTTACTTTGGTTAATTTCAGAACCATCATCTTCTAAGTCTTCTTGCCTCATTCCTCTTCTCTACCTTCTCCTACTGTTTTTCTTCCTCCTTTCTGATGCATCACTCTTCCCATTTCATTGCTATTACCCGAAGGACTATATGAACATGTCTCCTTATAACCAGTTTGTTTTCTCTTTGTTGCTCTACAGTGTTATCAGTTTAGGCTTTCTGGGAGCATTCTGACAATTTTACTGTCTGCTTTATACCCTTCATTGAGTTCATGAACTTTCTGGAGAAAGCCGAAGTCCTTTATTTGGTGTACAAATTCTTCTCCTGTGTCTTCCCACCTAATGTGCTGAAAAACAGACTTCCAGACTTGTAGTTCTTCAGATACCGCAAGTGGCTGGGTCTCTACACCTTGGTGAAAGCTATATTCTTTGCATCAAGTGTCCTAGCCATCCTTCCCCACCTGGAAATTTCCATGTATCCCTGCAGGCTCAGCATAAGCATTCCTTCTATGACTTTCCCTTGCTGTATTCAGGGAGCGTCATCTAACTTCCTATTGTGTCACCACTGTAATTACAGCCTACCTCTACTGTATCACTTACTGTACTGTATTGTTTTTGTTTTTAAAAGTCTCCTTTACTAGAATGTGAGCTCCTCAAGGGCAGGAAAAGGAACTTTATTCATTTTGGCATCTTCGTGGCATAGTTTTTGGCATATGAACATTTAATAAATGTTTGTTGAATAAATTGCTTTTAAAGTGACAAATTTATCATATTGAGAGGTCATACCTTCATGCCAAATACCTCCACTCACTTCACTCTACAGCAAGGATCAGTAGACTTCCAAGGATTCATAGAATTTAGGGGGCCAATAAAACTGAAGTTCAATATGAGATTGGGTGTGTTTTTTTTTCTCTTAATTCTTTTAGTTGTAGATGGACACAATATTTCTATTTATTCATTTATTTTTATGTGGTGCTGAGGATTGAACCCAGTGCCTCACATATGTGAGGAAGTGCTCTACCACTGAGCTCCAGCTCCAGCCCAGGTATGGTTTTTGGTGGCCCATGAAAGGGGGTCTAGTCTGGGGACAGGCAGAGAACTCTCAAAGGAAAAGGCAGCATCACGGAGTAATTTCTTGAATAATGAAAGATAGCTGGGATTATGGTTTAAACAAATTGATTCCCTGTTTACGATGCTAAGGGGAAAGAGAAGTGTTATAAATTAGTTCACATAAGGATTTTTTTTTAGCTTAAATACATAATACCTAATAACATTGGCATTTTAGAGTATATGACACTTCGTATCATATTGGTGTATAATACTAAGTAACATAAGATTCAAATGCAAGTAATTGTGAGATCACTAGAAGAAAGCTGTCATTTGTAATTCCTAATATTTTTTCTTTTCTGTGATAACACTATAAGATTTTTATCCTCTGATAGAAACTCAGTATAAGGGAGATTAAGGAAGATTAAGAAAACCAGACCCCCAACCATAAAGCTCTAATAAAAAAAGAAATGAAGATGACCAGACCCCTAAATAAAAGCACAAACACTTTTTATTTTTAATAGTAATGTTTTGTTACAATTTAGTGAAATGACAAATCAATACATTCATTGGCCACAGCTATATTTTTATAACCAGTTTGAAACTGATTATATAGCTGAGAAACACTGTTAAACAATAAAAAAGGCAGCTATGCATAAAAAAGCCACTTTAGCTATAAATTACATCTTCCATAAAACTACAACCAGCTACAATGAGTGTGAAGAGATTCAAAATTAATGACCATCCAAATGAAATGATAACAAATATTGCTAGTCACTGTAGAATTACATATTTAAGCAATGAAATTCACTTTTCTAATTAATGAATACAAAAGAAAGGTTTGAAATTGTCATTATGTGCTTCAGTGCAAGATGAACAGGGAATCGGTAGCCCTTTGATTTTATAAACAACTCCTTCTTTCGAGACCAAACTTAAAGTGCTCCTAGTGCTTTGGAATTTTTAAGCAAAAATTGGGCCAGATCTTTCTTCGTCTTTGGTGATATATTGTAGGAGATGTGTATCAGGAGACAAATGCAAGAATTTAGGTATCCTAGTCTGTGATAACAGGATAAACTTATAAATTTCAAATTTGATATAATCAACTAATGCAGCTAAAAGAACCAAATATATTTTATTTGAGAAAAAATTAAACTAATCATTGTTTACCTGGTCAAATAGGAACTTTGATATAGGAAAAAAATTATTTTATCACCTTGAACTTGAGGCTTAACAAAGACAACACAGATCTTTTCAGATAGCTGTAGATATTTAGATCAGCAAAATAAATAGTTGACATTCTGAAATCTAGGAACTGAGGATGTGGTAAAAATATACTATTTTGTTGTCATCTTAATACCAAGGTTAACTTTTTTACTATAAAATTTTAAATAATTTGAGTATAAGAGAATTTATAAACAAATACCAAGTAACATTTATTAGTATGCATCCAGTTGAATTTAAAGTCCTTTCATGCTTGATTTGGCAGCACACCTACTGAATTTAAAGTCCTTTGTATCATAAAAAGAGGAAATTTGTTTGGCTTTGTACTAGTCTCCCAAAAGATAAAAAGTATTAACAATTTAATTTTTCCTTAAGAGTTTTACCTACTGTTAAACTTTTGTGAAGTCACTATATCAGTTATTAAAAAGCTGAAAGATATTTTAAATAGGAGTAGAAATAAAACAATGTTCTAATCAAAGAAGAAGAAAAAGGACAGTTGTATTAGTTCCAATTCCAAGAAAAAGATCAGAAGACAATTGTATATGATCATCTTTAAGCATGTTGTAACAACTTCCCTGTTGTCTGTTCCCTTGGCTTCTTGAGGTATTCAGCATCTACTTTCCATATAGACACTGGTAGAAAGTGCATTTTAAAATTCTGTATTGTCTTAGCCTACCATATGTAATATTTTTTAGACTTGGGGTTGGTCATTCAATACAGTTTTAATGTAATTCTAAAATATTCAAATATTGTTAACCTCTGGTTTTATACATACTTAATTCATACTTTTATGTTAAGTTTGGTACTGAAATTAATTTGAATTCAATTTAGTTTTTAAACCATATACAATGTATAAAAATGTAAAAACTAAAGAAGGAATTATATGTCTTACAAAGTATTGCACTTAAGTTCACTGCAATAATGTATCATGATTGAATTTACCTGAGGACAATCCTGATTCAATAGGTAAGATCAGCTATTTTGTTTTAGATCAGATGCTTTTGAAAACATTTGTTTTAGAATGCATATTTTATGAACAATTCTTAAATGCATCTGTAAACTTGTTTAGTCCCAAGAAGTTTCTACCAAAATCTCCCTATGCAAAAATCACTATTGCTTTCTTGAAGAATCATGCTTAAACTACTACATATATATCTTAATTGTACAAAATAATCACTCGACCAATTCTACTCAAAATAGCCACACAATTTTCACTGGTATATTTTCTTCTTGAAGAAATTACTGTGGCTTTCCAAACAACATTGCTGGTCATTACTGTAAAGGATTATACTATTAGTTGTTTAAAATGATTGTTTGAATAATCTCAATTGGTATTTTAAGTTCATGCTTAAAAGAACTGTCTTCAATGATTACATATATTTAGTGGATTTTAAAATGAATGATGCATTTTTATGCCTAAACTGTGCACTGTTCACACCATAAAATTGTAATCGGGTAAAGATTCCACAGAGTACACCACAAAATATATAGGCTTTGATTTTCGTAGAAAACGTGCCTTCCAATTTGGTGTACATAATATTCCAGTGTGAACACTGGAGTATGACATTGGGGACTGCAGTGTACTCTTTCAGAACAGAGATAAAAGTGCAAATATGCTAATATGCAGTTGGTGTTCCAAAATCAGGATGTTTGGAGGCCTTAAAAATCTAATTTATCTTTTCTCCTACTCCAAACTTTCCATTTTACTTAATTTTACTAAGCAGAGGTCAAAAGTAACAGCTTGTGTTCTCCACCAAACACAGCCAGGTTTCCAGATTTTGTTTTCAGTTGCAACAGATAATGGAATGTTCATGTAGATGGAATTTAAACACGTCAAATATACATATTCATGAAAAACAATTCAAGAATCACAACTTGGTAATGCTATCAGTTTTGTGGTGTTACATATAAGCTATGGTGATTACTCATATCTAAATTACTACAAGTAAAAAGCAAAGGAGCCGTATCTGTCACAGGTCCATTCAGGTGGGGAGTGACTGTGTAAGTGTTGCTGCCACACCCAGTCATGGTGCCATACCAGCCCAAGCTTTGCGAATTTGATAAACTGCAAACAAACAACAAAAAAGGAAAAGAAACCAAAGGACTATGATTGGTATGTGAGAAGTCACGTTGGCAGTTTTAACATTTTCAATGAATTTCATAACAGTATCAAATATGCTGAAAGTTTCTTTGAAAATAACCATGATTTTTCATAAAATCCAATGACCTATCTGGAATCTTTGATCTGTATCACATTATATTACAAAAGAATGAATACACGCCTCTCAGAACTGGTAGCATTTATTAACTTACTATGATTAATAATAATATAGTACTTATTTTATTCTAGGCTCTATTCTAAGACATATATGTATGTATACAAACACACATACACTCATCCTTCACTACAATCCTTTGAGCTAGGTTCTATTTTCTTCCCTATTTACAAATGAAAATATAGGCTCAAAAAACTGCATTCAAGGAACTTATCCAAATGAAGTTAGCATTACCCAAAATGTTATATCAAGTTCAAAGAATTATGAAGGTGTGCATTAGGTTTTCTCTTTGCCCTGATACAGAGCTAAGAGTACACTAGTTAAAAACTTGCAGTAGTTTTGGAACAAGAGGGCATAGGAAAATTTCCTCAGGCACCTAAACTTCCCAAAGTTATCTAGTGTTTCTTTGTGGATTTGGAACAGCACTAGGAATATAGAAACAGATATGTAATCAGTACAACAGCATTCCTTCCCTGCTCACCCCCCTCCTTCTCCCCCCAGCTCTGAAACAAGGGTCCTGAAAATGAAATGAAATACATTTTGTCCCCAATGCATTTCTCAAACTAAGGTAATATATAGGCTTTAAGTCCGATGGTAGTTCTTTATAGTGTAGATACCACCTGGGTTAGACATCTACTGCTTTAAGCTTCAGTATTACATATTTATTGACATATTCCATTAAATCACCTTTTTAATATTTGGGCTAAAGCTTAGACTCGTTCTTTCAAGCTTTTGATATTAAATTCAGAATAAGTTATTTTTGTCACATCTACCTTCCTTCTCTTGAACTTCCCAGTCTTGGCAAGTCATCATCACTATCATATCGTCTTGGATTGTCAAAAAAGTAAGCTCTGGAACTATAACTGTGACTGTTTATCATGCCAGCAGGTGCCTGTGAATAAAGTATTAGATAGTACATGCTATTTAACTAGGAAAAGAGGCTAGAATCTATAAAGATTTTTAGTCTAAAACTTTGCTAAAAATAGAAAATCAATATGTGTTCCATATTTTTTAAAAATAAGGAAACAAGCAGTGGGGGGTAGTAGGATATCATACCAAATTCTGGCTTAATCTCTGTGCTCGGAAAAACAGTACCACTGACCAGGCTGGCACGTGTTCCCACAGAAAGAGGACCATTCCAAATACTATATAGTCTTCTCCACTTACATCTTCTACATGAGCCTGTAAATAGAATATGGCAGAACCATTTTAATACCTGTTTTACGCATAAGCAATCACTCTATATAATTGCCTCATTTTAGGTTGGGTTAAGTTAAAATGCATCAGTTACAAGCATATAAACTCTAAAATTTTCTATATTTGTGGTTTATTAACAATACTTTTTCATTTATGGGACATAAAAATGCTTTGATGTTAAGTAGAATAAAAGCTGTTAATTTGTTCAATGAATCAGTTTATGAAAATAATTTTAATCTTTGGATAACAAGGAATGACCCAATTTTAGGCCTCATAGTCTGAAGAGAGTTGCTTAAAAGGGACTATTATTCTAGCTGCTCGGCTGGCACAATAGCACTCACACTGAGTTAGACCTGTACAGAAATGTAACATGTTAAGTCACTCAGCTCAGCTGCTACTTAAAAATATGCTTTCGGGCCTAATCTACATAATGAATTTGTTTCTTTTCTACTAGATGTTGAGAGAGGAAAATGGGAAAAGGTGTGAAGAGAATCTGCCACATGGAACCACATGTGAAAATTCCTTATCCCTGGAAAGATAAAATAAACATGATATTTCTAGGTTGCCTCAAATTCAGTACAAGGTTAAATTAATAAAAAGTATGACATATAATTATGTCAAACTGCACTTTCAGGAAGGGGATGGAGAATGTTGGGAAGTTGAATATGCACAGCTAGTGTACTGGCAATTACTACAGTAAATATCTGGATACCTAAGGAAATATGAATGCTTTCTAGTAAGATGGGTAATGCTATATTTTAAAGAAACTCACTATTTACACATCTAAAACAAAGCCAATATTAATTATATGGAATTCTTGAGAAGGAAGAGTTAATTTCATCCAAAAAATTAAAGATATGCCGATTGGCTAACTACAGGCGATTAATTCATGTAGTATTATTTAAACATCATCCTTTTAAAAAGGTAAATTAGGTTTATGATCATCAGGCTTATGTTACTATTATTATTTACAAAAATAAAGGAAATACTCCTTTGAAAGTTCTTTCTGAAGGAAGAGCTTAAGTCACATGAAAATTAGGATATTTAAACACAGATTCTATAAACGTGTGCATATGTCAAACACTAAAATCTTCACTTGAATCTAATGTATGAAATATGATATGTCAAGAGCTTTATAATGTTTTGAACAACCAATAAAAAAAAATAAAAATAAAAAATAACAAAACAAAACAAAACAAAAAAAACACTAAAATCTTCTCCTAGCTAAGGCTAATTTAATTACCAATTATACTAATGGAAGATTGGCAATATGTGGTAGATACTTACCTTATCTGAAAGATTATCCCAGCCATAATTAAAAGGACTTTCTAATGTATCCTGAGATATGGTGATCACCACCAAATTATAACAAGCTCTGGACGAGTAGAGAAGAATGACTACAGAGCCTACGACAACTGTCTGGCACAGAGACATACCCTAAAAGAAACAAAATTCATCATCATGATGTTCTGAACATTAGTCATCACAAGCTATTTGTCCACAGCCCTATGGTCACCTCTTACAAAGCACTCCTAGAAAGCACTGAGTGGGTGCCTATTGAAATAAATTCTTGATATCTTGCTTTACAATTCCTATTCCTAGAATTACATGTTGTGTTTAATATGTGTAAGCTAATGTGTGTAAGTTCTTTGCCAACTTGCCAAATGGCAGCTGGAGGAAGATTTTGTTCTGCCAAGGTTACCTATTCCCTTAAGTAACATATGAATAGACAAATTGGCAAAAGATCTGAACTTTAATTAATGCTAATCAGATAGTTTAGTCATGAGAAATGAATGGAAAATAGAAGCATCAGTCCATTTGGTACACTTAATTTCTGCTACAAAGTAGGAGAGAGAGTCAGTTCCTCAGCTATTTATTCCAGTCCATTAGAGAGTGTATGTTAGTTTTCTATTTTGCCATTATGCGGATGATAAAATGATTGAGGCACTCAAATGTACTTTCAAATATATAACATTTAAGCCCATAATTTTCACCATTTTTCCAAATATAGAAAGCCCTTATAACTTAGTGGTTCTCAACAGTAGTATGTACATTGGAAAAGAGTATACATATCACCTTTTGCAGGGATTCTTAACTTGGGGTTTTTATTTCAGTACAATTGGTTTCCTTTGTAATTCTATATATTTTATCTTATGCATTAAAAGCATTCTGAGAAATGACACCATTTTCAAAGAGATCCCTGTATGGTGTTTGCAATTTTGTATTTTGATTGTCTTTAGATTAAGGAGTGATTATGATATTTAGGACACAAGATCCAGGAATGCTATATGACCTGAAATTCGCAGGGGAGTCTTCCACATAGAAGAATTGTTCCCTCATCTTGTAACTTTCAAATATCTTTCTGGATATTCATGAAGATTAAGAACTGTTTATAATTATCTGGGCTGAATTTAACTCGGTTTTACATATAAACAAAGGTTTATATTTGCATAAACATATGCAATAATTTCCAGAAAAGACATATAATGTGTAAATAGAGGGAAATTTGTACTTTGTTTTGTTCAGAATTTTATGAAGAGTTGTTTGAATGTTTCAAAAAATCATGACATTGACAGCAATACTACTTGGTGTATGTGACCAAAGCAAAATACCTTGTAACATTCTGCATTTGCAACTGGCCCCTTCATGGTTTCTATGTCTAGATACAAATATCTGACTAGTATATCATGCCCCAAATCTATAATTGACATATTTATTGATAACCTTTTTTTTCTTATCTTACAACTAGAGTAATTATGTTGAATTTTATATGTGCAGAAGGTTAGACATTATTAACTTCAGGATAGAAACAGTTATGAAACTCTTACTACTAGAGGGGTGTACTGGGGCTAACATTGTTGAGAATTATTATCAAAAATGACTTCCTGGCACTTGCCTCACAGGTATGAAGCACTGGGTTTGATCCTCAGCACCACATAAAAATAAATAAACAAAATAAAGGTATTGTGTCCATCTACAACTAAAAATTATTTAAAAATTTTAGAAAGTAATTTCCTTTATAATATATATTTTATACATTTTAGATGTACATTTTATACATTTGAAAGATGTTGACATAGTATCTTCTTTGAGCTCATTCACTTCCATAAATCTGAAACAATAAATGTTAACAACAAAAAAGTTAATCTAAAACCAATCCAGATTTTTTTTTGAGATGAGGGTCTTGCTATGCTGCCCAGGCCTTCTGATATCTGGGACTACACATGCATACCACTACTCTCTGCTCAGGTGTAGTTTTAAAAGTACTATGCTATTGGGTCTGGGGTTGTGGCTTAGTGGCTTGCCTAACATGTGAAACACTGGGTTCGAGTCTCAGCGCCATAAATAAATAAATAAATGTCCATTGACAACTAAAAAAAAATTTAAAATATTACTATGCTATTAAAGAAGAGTAAGGTAACAAGAACAAGAAAACAGAATTCTATAAGAATTACCTAAAATAACCATAAGAAGTTTATATTCACTACATTGAGAAATAAGATGATGGCTTGAAAGGATATGTTATACTATAGAGACCCTCTGCTTAAACTTGTAAATACTAATAAAAACTTTTTAAAAAGGTTGTAAGAAAACAAAGAATCATTGAATAAAACAAAATAACCGGTAGCTAAATCACATATGTAAAACAATGAAAGAAACTCATAGATTTTAAAAACGAAATAAGATTCATCCTGCAAAATACAGGATTACAAAATGAAAAATAAGGCTTCAGCACCTGTGTAACCCCAATCTCTACCCAAATACATAACAGTATCATGGATACCCAAAGTTCCTGTATACCCCTTCCCATCAGTCAATGCCCCAGGTATAAACACTCCCCTCCTTCTATTCTGTGGCTTAGCTCAAGCTGCCTAGAACTTCATGTAAATGGAATCTCAGAAGGTGAACTCTTGCAGGTTTTGTTCTCTCCACGTTTTTAAGGTTTATCCATATGGCTGGATGTATCAGTAATTAGGTATTTTTATTGCTGAGGTAATCCAGTCTTCCTGTTTGCTCTTGAGTTTCCTAGATTTAATGTTTGTTGTCCTGCATCCTAGAAAACTCCAAAGCAAACCAGAGAGTTAAATTATATGAATTCCCCTGTAGGACCATATGAGCTTGTTTATAGGACAGTTTATCAATATTTCTGTTAATGGATATCTTCTATGAACGTTCTTATGCAGGTGTGTGTGTGTGTGTATGTACTTTCACTTCTTTTGGGCAAATACCTAAGAGTGGAATCGCTGGGTTATAAGAGAGATATAAGTTCAGCTATATTAAGAAATTGCCTTTTTTTTCCCCAAAAGGGATGTTCAGTTTTACACTTTGAACAAAGTATGGGAATTCCAGTTGCTTCACTCAACTGGCCAGTCCTAGGACTCTTATGGGGTTTCCAGTCTTTTTTAATTTTAGCTCTGCTAGTGGATGTGTAGTAATATTTTGGTCTGAGTTTGTCTTTCCCCGATGACTAAAGACGTTGTGTTATTGGCTTTTTATATATTTTCTTCTCTTTTTTTTTTCTTTGTACTGGGGATTGAACCCAGGGACATATAACCACTGAGCCACATCCCCATCTCTTTTTATTTTGACACTGGGTCTCATTAAGTTGCTTAGGGCCTTGCTAAATTGCTAAGGCTGGTCTTGAGCTTGAGATTCTCCTGCTTCAGCCTCCCATGTCACTGGGATTATAGGCGTACACCACCTCGCCTGGCTTATATATCTTTTGTGAAGAAATCTACTCAAATCTTTTGACCACTTCTAAGTTAGGTTGTCTTAAAAAAAATCAGAGTTGCAGCTGATTTTCATATATGCTGAACATCAGTTCCTTGTCAGATATGGGTACATACTGCAAATCATTTTTGAAGTCTGTGGCTTCCCTTTGCATTTTATGTTATCTTTTGACAAGAAATTTTAATTAAATCTAATTTATCAATTTATTCTTTCATGGTTATTACTTTCTATGACCTAAGAAATCTTTGCCTGTACTCAGGTTTTCTTTTAGAAACTTTTGCCTTTTTGGGGGAGGCGAGAAAGGGTAGTATTGGGGATTGGTTGAATTCAGGGTTGTTATACCACTGAGCTTCATGTCCAACCCTTTTTATTTTTTAAGATGGGGTGCCCCTAAATTGCTGAGACTGGCCTCAAAATTGTGACTCTCATACTTCAGCTTCCCGAGTCACTGGGATTACAGGTGTGTGTCATAGCACCCAGTACTAGGAACTTTTTTAAGTACTCAATAGTCATATATGGTTACTCATACTGAATGTTAGAGGTAGAGAATATTTTCATTATCACAGAAAGTTCTATGGAAAAGCACCACTTTAAATATTTTACGTTTTTTGGTTCAATATAAATTTTGGAATCAATTTATCAATTTCCTTTTTGAAAACCACTTTATTGAAGTATGTACAAAAAATTGTACCTAATTAACATATACAACTTGTCAATTTCTATTTTTAAAAAAATGCATGGTAAAATTTTGGTGGGGATTGCATTCAATTTATACATCAAATTGAGAACTGCCATCTTAACAATACTGCATCTTCCAATCCATGAACATGTCATATCTCTTCATTAATTTAGGTCCTTAATTTCACTCAGTAACATTTTGTAGTTTTCAGGATAGAGATCATGCTTGTTTTGGGAAAAAAATAATCCAATTCTTTTTAAAAAATACTATTGTAACTGTTTTTTGAATTTCATTTTCTATATGGTATATTAAAAATATAATGAGTTTTTACCTGAGCACTTGCTAAATTCACTAATTTTAATGGTCAATAGACTCTTTAAGATCCTTATGTTCTCCATAAACACCATGTTTCCTGCAATTAAAGATAGTCTTACTTTTTTTTTAAAAAACATTTAGTTGTAGATGGACATAATAACTTTATCTATTTTTTTATGTTATGCTGAGGATAGAACTTAGTGTATCACACATGCTAGCCAAGTGCTTTACCACTGAGTTACAATTACAGCCCCAGTTTTATTTCTTAATTCACAATTTTATACTTTTTCTTGTTATATTATACTATAGAATGGAATAGTATTGGCATCCTTTCTTTGTTCCCAATGTTAAGGACAGAACATTTGCTATTTAAGTATGATATTGATTGTAATATCTAAGTAGAATATTGGCTATAAATTTTTTTAAAGGGTGCTGAATTTTGCTAAATGCTTTCTTTTTACTTCTATTGAAATGTTAATGTGGTTTTTCTTCTTTGTTCTCTTACTGTGGTGAATTACACTGACTATTTTTAAAATGTTAAACCAATGTGGCATTCCTGGACAAATCCCTCTTGTCCAGGAATGCAACCAGATTTTGAGTCTGTAAGTATAAGTGATGGATAAGATTCTATAATTTTTATTTATTTTGTAATATTTTTGTTAAGACGATTTTGGCACTGAGTAATGCTGGCATCATAAAACCTGTTATCACA